ACCCTTGATTCCTAAACTCCTGGATCTTTACTGTGGGCAAACCTTTCCACACACTGGGCCCCGTGCTCGTGTCCTGTCTTACGAAGGGACCCCTCCTGGGCGTCTCTCCTGCAGGCACAGGGCACAGGCTGCAGGGAACAGGTCTGATGGTGCTCCTGGCAGTTTTTATTGAGACTCTGAAGGGCTCTGAGCAACGTGTGTTCCCAGGGAGCCTGATATGTGGTGGCTGTTAGGACGAATTGTTCCAATCAGTGGGTTCGAGAAGACACAGTTCAGGGAAAGTTTGGTTAGAGAAGAATGGCCCGACTGTAATTTGCCCCGCACTGAATGTGTGTGTTACACTGTAGGTGTGTGACTTTGAGATTCTTAAAAAATATTTATTTATTCATTATCTGGGTGCTGTCTTAGGTGTGGCATGTGAGATATAGTTCCCTGACAAGGATGAAACCAGGCTGACTGCACTGGGAACATGGAGTCTTAGCCACTAGACCACCTGGGAATTCCCTGAGATAGTAAATGTATGAAAATATGTTAGTGGATTAGTGAAATTTTTATGGTCATTGCTTTAAATACATGCATGATTTTAACTGAAGGACAATCTATGTTTATTTCAACTTTTCGTTGATAAGAGTTACGTATCTGAAATATAATTATCTTTGTAAGGTTTTTTATTAAGAAAATATTAAATAAATGACATAAGACAGATCTTTTGAAATTTTTTATCTGTAAGTAAAACTATATTTTTACACAGATATTTGCATTATTAATTTTGGGGGGTCTGAGTGAAGCAGAGCAGGAACCAGCCTCTTTCTGCCACTTATAGCATCTCCACTGTGGGATTTTTATCTCTGATTAGGAAGATGTGAAGACATACAAGACTTTTTAGAACTAACACCCAAAAAAAATATTCTTTTTCGTTATAAAGAACTGGAATGTAAAAGTAGGAAGTCAAGAAATACCTGGAGTAACAGGCAAATTTATCCTTGGAGTACAGAATGAAGCAGGGCAAAGGCTCATAGAGTTTTGCCAAGAGAACGTACTGCTCATAGCAAACACCCTCTTCCAACAGCACAAGAGAAGACTCTACACATGGACATCACCAGATGGTCAACACCGAAATCAGACTGATTATATTCTTTGTAGCCAAAGATGGAGAATCTCTATACAGTCAGCAAAAACAAGACCGGGAGCTGACTGTGGCTCAGATCATGAACTCCTTATTGCCAAATTCAGACTTAAATGAAAGAAAGTAGGGAAAACCACTAGACGATTCAGGTATGACCTAAATCAAATCCCTTATGATTATACAGTGGAAGTGTAATAGATTTAAGGTACTAGATTTGATAGACAGAGTGCCTGATGAACTAGGGACAGAGGTTCATGACATTATACAGGAGACAGGGATCAAGACCATCCCCAAGAAAAAGAAAAGCAAAAAAGCAAAATGGCTGTCTGAGGAGGCCTTACAAATAGCTGTGAAATGAAGAGAAGCCAAAAGCAAAGGAGAAAAGGAAAGATATACCCATTTGAATGCAGAGTTCCAAAGAATAGCAAGGAGAGATAAGAAAGCCTTCCTCAGCAATCAATGCAAAGAAATAGAGGAAAACAATAGAATGGGAAAGACTAGAGATCTCTTCAAGAAAATTAGAGATACCAAGGGAACATTTCATGCAAAGATGGGCTCAATAAAGGACAGAAATGGTATGGACCTAACAGAAGCAGAAGATATTAAGAAGAGGTGGCAAGAATACACAGAAGAACTGTACAAAAAAGATCTTCATGACCCAGATAATCACGATGGTGTGATCACTCACCTAGAGCCAGACATCCTGGAATGTGAAGTCAAGTGGGCCTTAGGAAGCATCACTATGAACAAAGCTAGTGGAGGTGATGGAATTCCAGTTGAGCTATTTCAAATCCTGAAAGATGATGCTGTGAAAGTGCTGCACTCAATATGCCAGCAAATTTGGAAAACTCAGCAGTGGCCACAGGACTGGAAAAGGTCAGTTTTCATTCCAATCCCAAAGAAAGGCAATGCCAAAGAATGCTCAAACTACCACACAATTGCACTCATCTCACACGCTAGTAAAGTAATGCTCAAAATTCTCCAAGCCAGGCTTCAGCAATACGTGAACCGTGAACTTCCAGATGTTCAAGCTGGTTTTAGAAAAGGCAGAGGAACCAGAGATCAAATTGCCAACATCCGCTGGATCATCGAAAAAGCAAGAGAGTTCCAGAAAAACATCTATTTCTGCTTTATTGACTATGCCAAAGCCTTTGACTGTGTGGATCACAATAAACTGTGGAAAATTCTGAAAGAGATGGGAATACCAGACCACCTGACCTGCCTCTTGAGAAACCTGTATGCAGGTCAGGAAGCAACAGTTAGAACTGGACATGGAACAACAGACTGGTTCCAAATAGGAAAAGGAGTACATCAAGGCTGTATATTATCACTCTGCTTATTTAACTTACATGCAGAATACATCATGAAAAATGCTGGGCTGAATGAAGCACAAGCTGGAATCAAGATTGCAGGAGAAATATCAATAACTTCAGATATGTAGATGACACCACCCTTATGGCAGAAAGTGAAAAAGAACCTCTTGATGAAAGTGAAAGAGGAGAGTGAAAAAGCTGGCTGAAAACTAAGATCATGGCATCCTGTCCCACAACTTCATGGCAAATAAATGGGGAAACAATGATAGACTTTATTTTGGGGGGTTCCAAAATCACTGCAGATGTTGACTGCAGCCAAAAAATTAAAAGATGCTTACTCCTTGGAAGGAAAGTTATGACCAAAGTAGACAGCATATGAAAAAGCAGAGACATTAATTTGCCAACAAAGGTCCATCTAGTCAAGGCTGTGGTTTTTCCAGTAGTCATGTATGGATGCGAGAGTTGGACTGCAAAGAAAGCTGAGTGCTGAAGAATTGATGCTTTTGAACTGTGGTGTTGGAGGAGACTTTCAAAAGTCCCTTGGACTGCAAGGAGATCCAACCAGTCAATCCTAAAGGAAATCAGTCCTGAGTGTTCATTGGAAGGACTGATGTTGAAGCTGAAACTCCAATACTTTGGCTACCTGATGTGAAGAACTGACTCGTTTTGAAAAGACCCTGATGCTGGGCAAGATTGAAGGCGGGAGGAGGAGGGGAGGACAGAGGACGAGATGGTTGGATGGCATCACCGACTCAATGAACATGAGTTTGAGTAAACTCTGGGAGTTGGTGATGGACAGGGAGGCCTGTGTGCTGCAGCCCATGGGGTCACAAAGAGCCAGACACAACTGAGCAACTGAACTGAACTGAACTGAGGAAGATACGTGTCAAAACATGGCAGTCTGAGCGATCAGAGCCATGGGTGGGTCTCAGATATGAGATGAGGGCAGTACATAACAGGTCAGATCTGTTGTTCTCAGAAGCTCAGAAGTGACCACAGGAAGTTAACCAGAGTGAGAGCAGAACAGCAGTGACAGCCACATGAGGGAGGGCACAGGGCCGCTGTGGGTCTGAAGCACCTTGTAAATACCAGTTTTTTGGTGAACAGTAGCACAGTTATAATCAGCCTCATCCTCAGGCTGCAGCCCAGAGATGAGCAGGAGCCCTGCATTGGCCGAGGCATCTTTGGATCCAGAGAAGTGACTGGGGACCCGGGAGCCCTGGGGCTTATTGGAGTTTGACTTGAACATCAGGAGTCCCCGGGGAGGGCTCCCTGGCTTCTGCTGGAAACAGGACGTTTCACCAACACTGTAGCCACTGCCCAGGGTGCGGGAGAGTCTGGCTGATGCTCCCGGAGACGCAGAGAGGGAGGCGGGCTGAGTCAGCACAGGCTGGGAGACGGAGCCTGCAGACACAGACACAGGGAGACGGGGCAGGAGCTGCAGGAAAGGTTCCCGGAGTCTGCGCCCCGGGGGCTGATGCAGGCCGGGGACTGAGCCCTGGTGCGCGGGGCCCGTCACTACCTGTGCAGAGAGAGAGGAGCTCGAGCAGGAGAGGAGTCCAGGCCACGATGCCCACAGGACCCTGGTCGCCACAGTGGGGTGGGCTGCCCCAGGCCTCCTGCTCTGCCCCAGCCTCTGAGAGGAGGGGCTGCCAGGCAAACGGGGTCCCCCCCAGGGCCCACCCAGCCCCTCCTCGACCCTGGTGCAGGAGCTCAGCTCACAGCCCAGACTCAGAGGGTAGAGGGGAGTTCCCTCTTGGGAGCCCCTGGAGGAAGCACCTGCTGAGACCACACTGGTCCCTGCTCAGGTGTTCCTGCAGCGAGAGAAGACGCACGGCTGAGTCCCTCCAGGAGCACACACCCCACCCCAGCCCAGCTCCTGGAGGGAGTGGTGCTCCCTGAGCAGCTGTGCAGGGACCCCAGGGCAGTCCCACAGCGCCCCCTGCCGGTAACCTGTGGGAAAATTTTGCAGAAAAAGGGAATGAAATTGTGCCTAAGAAGGCACAACATTTGTTCTAGCAGAGAAAATAAGTAAACAGATGAAGATGCTTAGAAAAAACAGAAAATTTTATCATAAAATTACTCCACAAAAAGACATAATGTATCCTTATTTAGTGTAAATATCTAACAAACTTCAGGAGTTATATGCTTCCCATACATTTGATTTGTATTTTTTTTAAACATTGAAAAAGATGCAAAATTTGCAGTTCTTTGAGAAAGCAGTTAAAGTATTTTACATACAACCCATAAATAAAACACATAAGAGGGAAATTTATAGGACTTCCCTTTTGGTCCAGTGTTTAAGGATCTGCCTGTCAATGCAAGGATTCTTTAATATCTGCAAGTCAATCAATGTAATACACCACATTAACAAATTGAAAGATAAAAACCATATGATTATCTCAATAGATGCAGAAAAAGCCTTTGACAAAATTCAACATCCATTTATGATTAAAACTCTCCAGAANAAAGAAAAAACAAAACCCTGCATTGGATAAGAGTATTTTAGCAATCTAAAAGGTGAATTGAAGTAAAAGATACAATGTTATCAAAAATGCTGGATCTAGGAAAATCAGGTGCTTGCCAAACATCTGATGATTTAAGTCACCCCTGAACGAGACTTCATCCGAGCCACGAGCAGGCGTGAGTGGAGGTTTCGTCTCACTTCCTCCCTGGTCTGGAGCGCCTTGTAAGCATTGGTGCCCTATGCCCCACAGCACAGGCATAGTCGGCCTCGGCCTCGGGCTGCAGCCCAGAGACGAGCAGGCGCCCTGCACTGGCTGAGGCGTCTTCGGATCCAGAGAAGAGGCTGGGGACCCCGGAGCCCTGGTGCTTATCGGAGTCTGAGTAGAAATTCAGGAGGTAATGCGGGTGCTCCCTGGCTTCTGCTGGAACCAACGTATGGAGAAACCACCACCACTGTAGCTGCTGGTCAGGGTGCGGGAGAGTCTGGCTGATGCTCCCGGAGAGGGAGGCGGGCTGAGTCAGCACAGGATGGGAGATGGAGCCTGCAGACACAGACACGGGGAGACGGGCCAGGAGCTGCAGGAAAGGTTCGCGGAGTCTGCGCCCCGGGGGCTGATGCAGGCCGGGGACCGAGCCCTGGTGTCCGGGGCCCGTCACTACCTGTGCAGAGAGAGAGGAGCTCGAGCAGGAGAGGAGTCCAGGCCACGATGCCCACAGGACCCTGGTCGCCACAGTGGGGTGGGCTGCCCCAGGCCTCCTGCTCTGCCCCAGCCTCTGAGAGGAGGGGCTGCCAGGCAAACGGGGGTCCCCCCAGGGCCCACCCAGCCCCTCCTCGACCCTGGTGCAGGAGCTCAGCTCACAGCCCAGACTCAGAGGGTAGAGGGGAGTTCCCTCTTGGGAGCCCCTGGAGGAAGCACCTGCTGAGACCACACTGGTCCCTGCTCAGGTGTTCCTGCAGCGAGAGAAGACGCACGGCTGAGTCCCTCCAGGAGCACACACCCCACCCCAGCCCAGCTCCTGGAGGGAGTGGTGCTCCCTGAGCAGCTGTGCAGGGACCCCAGGGCAGTCCCACAGCGCCCCCTGCCGGTAACATGTGGGAAAATTTTGCAGAAAAAGGGAATGAAATTCTAAGTTCTCTAAGAAATTACAACATTTGTTCTAGTAGAGAAAATAAGTAAACAGATGAAGATGCTTAGAAGAAACAGAATATTTTGTCGTGGGATTATTCCACAAAAAGACATAATGGATCCTTATTTAGCGTAAATATCTAACAAATTTCAGGAGTTATATGCTTCCCATACATTTGATTTGTATTTTTTTAAGCATTGAAAAAGATGCAAAATTTGTGGTTCTTTGAGAAAGCACTTAAAGTGTTTTACATACAACCCATAAACATAACAGGGAAATTTATAGGACTTCCCTTGTTTTCCTGTGTTTCAGGATCTGCCTGTTGATGAAAGGGACATGGTTTCAGTATCAGGTCCAGGAAGCTCCCACATTCTGCAGAGCAACTCAGCAGGAAAGCAGAACTGCTGAAGCTCCCTGTCCCAAGCAGGTGATCTGCAACAAGAGAATCCACCCCAGTGAGAAGCCAGTTGAGTGCAATGAAGAGCGGCCTCACCTCCCCACAGCAGGAGCGCAGCCCAGGAGCAGAGAAGGCCCAGCACAGCCATCAGTCACTCAATCAACCAGTAAAGTTTAAAGAAACAACCAGACAACCAAACCAGGAAAAGGGAATACTACAAACCGCTATCATTAAACATTGGTTCAAATACTCTACACAAAATGGAAAATTAGAAAATTAGAAAAATTCTAATATCAGGTTAAGAAATTGACAGTGTTACCAATGTTATTTTTTCAAATATATATTATATTTTATACTAGACTCTCAAACTTAAATTTACAGAGCAATCCAGTTCACACACTCCCAGCCGCCCCCGACCTCTTCGGGCTCCTCTCGTGTCTCTGGACCCAGGGCGTTTGCCGAGACCAAGCTGGGGGCATCCTCCTTGTCCAAGGCGACTGAGGCCGCCCCAGGGAGCAGCCTGGAGGGAACCTGGTGACCCTGGTGCTCGGTGGGAAGTGGGTCAGTGAAGGCAAGGGGAAGGTGGGGGATCTGCTAGTGCAGGACCCCAACGCTCTGTGCCACTGCCAGGGAGGAAATAACGCTGGCCTGAACAGTTGTTGTAAATTCTATGGAGGGTGATTTTCGTCTTTTACCCAGTGGAATAATTACCCAGTGGGATAATTCTGGCTCCCAGTGGAGTCTGAATATTACTGCATTCATTGGAAATGATGTGGTAATTCATCTAGCTGGATTGTTTGAGGAAGCAGAAAAAAACATTCAAAAAGGGAAAGGTCTGGAAGGCTGAGACAAAGGCTTCTCATACCTGCCAGAGCTCATATTGTGCTTGATTTTCATCAAACAGCTGGTGGTATCCAGGAACAACAGAGAGGAGAACAAGCAGGAAAAAATTTGGGTACCACAAAAAGGGCGTGTGCCCCGTTCATTCTTCCAAAGAGGACCAGGGTGGACTTAGGATATGCCATCTTATTTCCAACTTCAATGGCTTTTCTGAGAGGTTCCAAGTTCTGGCTAACCACTACAAATCTCTATACCCCACTTCGGAAATAGACGTTGAAGATGAATTCCAAAAAATCAAGGGTTATATGGTAAGGATTAAACTAACTGCAAGATGTATGGAGTTTATTTCCTATATGAGGCTTTCCATGGACCATCAGTGAAAATCTTGGTAGAAGGTGCAAATGCAGAACTGCTAGATATTGATTCTGAAATTTCTCCTTTCATAACCTCTTTGAACTGTACAGTTGGCGGTGTTTGTACTGGCTTGGGTATGCCCCCTTAAAATGTTGGAGAAGTGTATGGAGTTGTGAAAGCTTATACAACTAGAGTTGGGATTGATCCCTTTCCTACAGAGCAAGACAATGAAATTGGAGAATTATTACAAACAAGGGATAGAGAGTTTGGTGTAACTACAGGAAGGGAAAGAAGATGTGTCTGGTTGAACCTTGTTTTGATTAAATATGCTCATATGATTAATGGATTTACTGCATTGGCACCCAAAATTTTTGATATTTTGGACATATTTATGGAAATCAGAGTTGAAGTTGCATACAAGTTAGATGGTGAGATTACTCATTTCCCAATAAACCAAGAACTCTTAAATAAATGGATTTAAATATAAGACCCTCCAGAATGGAACACACAGATATGAGAAGCAAGGACATTTAATGAACTACCTATTAATGCCCAGAATTGTTTGGTTTATTGAAGATGAAGTTCAAATTCCAGTTAAAATGATTTGCTTAGATAAATCCAGAGTCTATGATTCAACTCTTTTAAGGATTTCCAGTGATACAAGAAGCATTCCTGGAGAGATGGGGAAAGGACTTTCTTAAATATTTCATTTATGATCTACAAATTCTAAGAATAAAGACACTGAAATGAGTTTAGGCCCTACAGTCACTTCCAGTCTTTCAATATGGATGACTGGTATGGAGATACACTTTGGCAATTTGGCAATTTCCTTAGCCGGCATAATTGAAAAATCATTTGTTGCTCCTCCTGCTCATGGTGTCATATTTTCTTTTAATTTTAAAAATAATATAATCAATGTTGTTTGAAATCTAAAATAGAATTACTTTCAAAAATGAAGTTTTCCTTCATTATTGTTGTGTGTTCATAGGTTTTATCTCTATTGAATAGTAAGAATAATTAATGCAGTTTTGCACAAATATTTTTGCATTCTTATTGATCATTCAATTCTGTCACTGTAAACTTTGTTGTTCAAAAAATTGATGAGCGGAATCCTGTAAATGTTTGTAGTGATATAAATTTTGTTTAAATTTTGAACTGTTCATTTTCCTTTGAGACCGCTGCAAATTTGAGCTTTGGTGGTAGGCGTGTGTTATATTCAAGGGTCCTTTAATTTGTACAGTACACAAAACATGTTTCTCTCTGTGAATTATTTAACACATTGAACATTTAATTAAACATTAAAAGGAAAAAACTGTTCCCTAGAATAACTACTGCAATGTTAAAAAGACTTAGTCATTAAAAGACCTGTTGTGATAAAATAAATAAATAAATTTAACACCAATAATAGCAAGAACTACATAATACTGACACCTAGACATCTTAGTAACATCCTAGTACACACTAGGAACATACACACCTAACTCCACACAGGTCACCCTGCAGAGCCTCTGCCCACAGCTTTGTCTCCTCCTCTGCACAGACGCTCCCAGGAGCCACCCCCTCCTTAGAGACACCTTCTGATTCTCAGCTTCCAGCTGCCCTTCCCCAACACAGACTCGGCTAATATAAGACCTCACACGGACCAGGAGGTGGGAACTGAATCGGAACTGTTGGGTGCGGAGCAGGAGTTCTGGGGGATGGGCCTCACGGAGATGAGGGTCCCCATCATGGAGGAAGGTTTCAGAGCGCCCTGAGTGGTTTCGCCTCTTGTTGGCCCACCACCCATTCTGAGACTCAGCATTTTGGCCCTTGCTGGCCATGGGCACCTCTTCTAACCTCTGGGATGTCTTAGCCCCCATTCTAAGTGGCCCACTGTACAGCAAGCTTTGCTGATGGTATCCCCAGGAGAGTGGGTTGAGGGGCATTTCTAGGTCCACCGTGGGCACAGGAATATGCTTACATTGGGACTCTTGTGTCCTTGGAAACTGACCTTATTCCAAAATGTACATCTCTGTCAGCTGTGGCCCCACAGTCCAGACCTGCCTGCGGTGCAAATCTTATGCATATGTGAAAGGACATTGAAAGGACACTCGAGTGGTGACCTGAGGTACTCTGTGAGCCATACATTCAGGGTGAAGACAGGAGCTCAGGATTCAGGGTCACCTTCCATTGGTCTGAATTCCCCTGTGAGCAGCATGGCTGCCATCCCAGCTGAGCACAGTCAGCCACGTCCTCAGGCTGGAGCCCAGGGATGGTCAGGGGTCCTGACGGACTTGGAATCGGAGAACTTCTCTGAGATGATAAGGACTGCTTGTGACTCCTTTGGGTCAGGAGTTTGGGGACCCAGCCAGGGTATGGCTGCAGCCAAGACGCAGAAAATAACATAAACTAGGACATACTGAGGCAAAACCTAAGAGAAAATAAAAAAGAGTTTCTGAAGTAAAAATGTACAGAAAAATATTAGTTTATGTGATAAAATTGGAAAGAGGTTCAGATGTAAAATCTCGAAGAAACTACAGGGTTCTGAGGAAAAACTCTGAGAGAAAGTAAGATGATATGAGTTAAAATCTGTCAGTAAGAAATAGGGTCTGAGGAAAAATCTGACAGAAAATAGAGGGTACTGAGGTTAAATCTGACAAAAACTAGAGTGTTCAGAGGTAAAATCTGATAGAAATTATGGGATTCTTAGGAAAACTGACAGAACCTAGGGTTTCTGAGGTGAAATCTGAGAAACAAGAGGGTTCTGAGGTAAAATCTAACAGAAACTAGAAGATTCTGAATTAAAATCTGACAGAAAATCAGGAGATCTGAAGTAAAATCTTACAGAAACTCAGGGGGTCTGAGGAAAAATTGGACAGAAACTAGGGGGTTTTGAGGAAAAATTTGACAGAAACTAGGGGATTCTGAGGTAAAAATCTGAGTAACAAGAGGGTTCTGAGGTAAAATCTGACAGAAACGAAAGGGTTCTAGGTGAAACCTGACAGAAACTAGGGAGATCTGAGGTAAAATCTGACAGGGTCTTTTTCAATGAGTTGGCTCTTTGCATCATGTGGCCAAAGTATTGGAGATTAAGCTTCAGCATCAGTCCTTCCAATGAATATTCAGGATTGATTTCCTTTAGGATTGACTGGTTTGATTTCCTTGGTGCCAAGGGACTCTCAAGAGTCTTCTCCAACACCACAGTTCAAAAGTATTAATTATTAAGTCCTTAGCCTTCTTTATGGCCCAAACCTCACATGTGTACATGACTACTGGAAGAACCATAGCTTTGATTATAACAACCTTTGTCAGCAAAGTGATGTCTCTGCTTTTTAATATGTTGTCTAGGTTGGTTATAGCTTTTCTTCCAAGGAGCAAGCTTCTTTTAATTTCCT